CTCACGGAGCAGATGATTCCCAGTGGAGGACCTGCACGGGTTGCCAGCGCGACTCTTGTGGCTGGCGCAGCAGTTTTGTTGACACCTCGGCGCAGCAGCTCTTGGTGCAGAGTAAACGGGACTGGTTCCCCTTCTGACCGACCTTTGGAGCTCCAGGAAGGCAGAGTCGCCTATTATGGACTCAAGAAGGAAGCCAGACTGGAGATTCCCAGGCAGAAAAGCACCATCAGTCTTAACGCCGCTGTTTTGGCCAGTGCAGTGGGTTGCTCATATTTCGGCCCTGGGAATTAACAACTTGGATGTCCACTCAGAGACCTAATTTGAAAGTTGGCAATTACAAAGATGACAGGTGGATAAATTTACAATGATGGGAAGAAACCAGTGTAAAAAGGCTAAGAATACTCAAAATCAGAATGCCTCTCCCTCTAAAGAGGATCAGTTCCTCATCAACAAGGGAACAAGGCTTGATGGAGAACGAGCGCATCCCATTAACAGAATCAGGCTTCAGAATGGATAATAAGAAACTTCTGTGAGTTAGAACATGTTGTAGCCACTGTAAAGAAACTAAGAACTTTGAGAAAAGGTTTGACGAAATCCTAATGAGAATAGACAATTTTGAGAGGAATATAAGTGAATTAATGGAACTGAAGAATACAATATAGGAACTCCGAGAAGTATGCACAGGTTTAAACACTCGAATTGTTCAAGCAGAAAAAAGGATATCAGAGGTTGAAGACCAATTTAATGAAATAAAATGAGAAGACAAGATTAGAGAAAAAAGGATAAAAAGGAATGAGCAAAGTTTCCAAGAAATGTGGGACTATGTGAAAAGACCAAATTTACGTTTGATACGTGTACCTGAATATGACGGAGAGAATGAATCCAAGCTGGAAAATATTCTTTAGGATATTATTCAGGAAAATTTTCCTAACCTAGCAAAGCAGGACAATATTCAACCCCAGGTAATACAGAGAACACCACAAAGATATTCCTCAAGAAGAGCAACCCCAAGGCACATAATCATTAGATTCACCAGGGTCGAAACGAAGGAGAAAATACTAAGGGCAGCCAGAGAGAAAGGTCAGGTTACCCACAAAGGGAAGCCTACCAGACTTATAGCAGATCTCTCAGCAGAAACTCTACAAGCCAGAAGAGAGTGGGGGCCAATATTCGACATCCTTAAAGAACAGAACTTTCAGCCCAGAATTTCATATCCAGCCAAACTAAGCTTCACAACTGAAGGAAAAATAAAATCTTTTATGAACAGGCAAGTACTCAGAGATTTTATTACCACCAGGCCTGCTTTACAAGAGCTTCTGAAAGAAGCATTACACATAGAAAGAAACAACCAGTATTAGCCTTTCTAAAAATATACCAAAAAGTAAAGAGCATCAACATAAAGAAGAGTTTACATCAACGAATGGATAAAACAGCCAGTTAACATCAAATGGCAGTAATCCTAAATTTAAATTGACTAAATCCCCCAATCAAAAGATACAGCCAAAACCCAACGGTATGCTACATCCAGACCCATTTCACATGCAAGGATACACAAAGACTCAAAACAAAGGGATGGAGAAAGATTTACCAACCAAATGGAGAGCAAAAATAAATAAATAAAAAGCAGGTGTTGCAATTCTCGTATTTGATAAAATAGATTTTAAAGCAACAAAGATATAGTGGTAAAAGGATCAATGCAACAATAAGAGCTAACGATTCTAACACCCAGATACATAGAGACTTAGACTCAATGAGACAGAAAATTAATAAGGATATCCAGGACTCGAACTCAGATCCAGAACAAGTAAACTTAATAAATATTTATAGAGCTCTCCACTTTAAATACACAAAATATACATTCTTGTCAATACCACATCACACCTACTCATAGGTTTAAATGAAATATTGATTGGCCATTATTAATACCCATTTTTTTTAAGAATAAAGCAACATTTCTGTTCTCTCCTCTCTCCCTCTTTGTCTTCCTTTCTTCCTCTCCTTCACTTTTTTCTTTCCTTCTCTCAAAAAAAATAAGTGTTCAACTGTAAGTGATATTAACTTATAACTGTAAACTGCTTCAATTAAATTTATTTTCCCTCTCAATTCCATTCTACCCATCATAATGCTCAAGTTAGATTTGTCACTAGCTTACAGAGAGCAGCATTTACCTGTAATTTAGAAAGTCCTAAAAAGCAATTATGTTTTACTTTTAAACATGGCTCTTGTACAAAAACTTATGTTGTATGATGACATCTTGGGAATTCACAAAACTTGAAATAGTATTATATAATTTAGCTATACTGAAAAATAATTCCAAAGAAATCAGAAAGCAGTTCACAAAAGAGCTTGTGCTCCTGTGAGAATCTAATGATGCTGCTGATCTGACAGGAGGCGGAGCTCAGGTGGAAATGCCTGCTGGCCCACTGCTCACCTCCTGCTCTGTGGCATGGGGTTGGGGAACCCTGGTCTAGAGGACACATGAAGGTAACGTGGACAAAGCAAGACAGCAAACAGAGCATTTAGAAAGGAACATGTTAAGAGGAATAGAAAAGGAGATACAGCAAGTTGTTGTGTAGATATAATCCCCCAAACCAAAATGACGTAAATCACTCTTGAATTCCCTAATTTAAAAATGCAAAACATTAAAGGGTGAGAGGGTACACACATTAATGTAACCTGGACATTTATATATAGCTGTAGCACATTGGAGCTGATATATTTCACATATGTACAGAGAGGCATTCAAAACACTTAACAACTGGTATGGCATAGGCATCAATCCTTCAAAATGGACACCAGTCAGCATGCTACACTTGGGTGCACCTGCTGAATGCCAGCCCTGCCTCTAGGACTTGACCCACATGATCTGAAGAAATCCTGTAATTTTATATCAAAGATTCTTATTTGCTTGCCACTTTTCACTCTGAAATGTCTGGGTGTATGGGTGGGAACAGAGGCTGATATGGTACTCATGCAAAGACTAAGGGCTAATGAAGAGAGATAAATCCTTAAAAGATTCCACAGAAACCATTATGAAAATACAGAGTGACAACTGCCTTGGGCTATGTACCAAAAGCCAGGAAACTTAATGACAGCATAATAAACACAACTCATGAGAAACAGACCATGAAACCATTTGTAGGTGGTGAGTATTTAATTTTCAAACTGTGTATCAGATATGCCAGATACACAAATTCTGAGAATTTACTCTCGGGGAAAACAAACAAACAAACAAAAACAACCAGAGGCAAGGATATGGAAAACTGGGTAGTTGCCTTGCCCGTTTAGGGTGGTGAAAATACTATACTAGGGCCTACTGGCTGATAATAATAATTATTATTTTTGGGAGATGGTGTCTTGTTCTGTCACCCAAGCTGCAGTGCAGTGGCACAATCATGGCTCACTGTAACCTCAACCCCCTGAGCTCAAGCAGTTCTCCTACCTCAACCTCCCAAGTAGCTGGGACTATGGGCATGTGCTACCACATCCAGCTAATTTTTAAATTTTGTGGAGACAAGGCCCCACTTTGTTGTCCAGGCTGATCTTAAACTTCTGGGCTCAAGCGATGCTCCTGCCTCTCAGCCTCCCAAAGTGTTGGGATTACAGGCATGAGTCACTGTGCATAGTCTGATCATGATTTTAAGGATGCCTAATTTACAATAAGAACCCTATGTTTGCCTTATTGTATTTAGGTAAAGGACCCAAACTTAACAAAAATTAAATCAAAGAAAAATGATTGAAAGTTTTCTACAACCACCATTATGGAGATGCAGCTGAGTCAGGATTCTTCATATTGGTATGTGGGACTGTACCAAAAAGAAGCAAAATCACTTTATAGAATAAAAAGAACAAACTAAGAATAGTAGTAAAATGTGACAACTGTAGTTTGAGGCTCTCCTAGGTGCAAGATCAGAGCATTTCTGAGCTGTTAAGACAGTAAAATTTGGCTTCAGTTCTATATAAAATAAATTTATCTACTGTTTGAACTATAAATGTTATAACAACTTCAAGCATCAAATTAGCAGTGTCAATGGGAATAAAAGTAAACCTGTATTTTATGCACAGCAGTAGCAGAGTTAAGTAGAGACTCTGGAACCCAGAGGGACTCTAGCTGAGTCCAAATACCTGCTCCTGCCCCTTACTAGGCTGTATGCCATTGGGCATACTACTTTATTTCTCTGGGTTTCAATTAATTTGTTTTGAGTACATTAAGGGGCCTATTAGTTGATGCAATGTGCAATTACTTGTGACAAAATTCTCCCAATTCATTATCTATAGGTTCCATACAAAGCCTTCACTTTACCTATTATTATCAATGGTAAAGAGGTGGGGGAGAGACTCTTTTAGGTGTACTTTATCATTTCTTGAAGGTGGATGCATGCTGACTCAGATGTCAAGTGAAAACTCCAAAAAGCTTTCAAGGTAAGACTTTCTTTGTGTATTATTCTGGGTCCATGGCCTTTTAGCCACTGGAAAGATCAGGATAGGAAGAACTTCTAGGGACCCCAGAGCTTTGACCTAGGAAGCAAGAGATGTGATCTGATGAAAACCAGGTAAGATCAGCGATATGATACAATGAGATGTGACAATGGATTATTATGATACTACCAAAGGTTTTAAATTTTTATTGTAAAGTTCCTTGTAGAAGAAAAACTAAGCAGAGAGCAAGGATACTATAATAAGAGATGCACTGCAGACTGCTGTCCTTTTAATCTTTCACAGTGCATTGAATAAAGGGCTCCTGAATTTGGTCAAGACAACATGCTGTGGTTTTAGCTACAGGTTAAGAAACCCAGTGTGGACAGTACGGGGTATTATTTTGCAAAAAATGCAGCCTTTCATGATGTATAAAACTTGCTGTTAAAAGACGATTTTAATAATTATGCAAACAGTATCAGTACACTGAGCAGGAAGTAAATGACAGTGACCTAGCTTTATTAATGTTAGAAACAATGTACTTTACAACATCATTTTAGTCATAAGGCTGCTGCTTCACTTACCACTTCTGTTGATGTTTCTGCGTGTTCAGAAGTAACATGCTCTTGAAGAGATGTCTCCGTATAGCCCATTTTTCCACAATAGGGACAAGTAAAAGACTGTGGCTGCTCTACAGAGAAAGCTTCCCCACCATAGTATAAATCTGAAAAATAAAGTAGAATTTCATTGAGGAATATTAGTTTTTAAACATATAAAAATGTAATCATATAGTACAATAATGTAAAAAACAAAGTGTGGGCCAGGAACAGTGGCTCAGACTGTAATCCCCGCACTTTGGGAGGCGAAGGTGGGTGGATCACTTGATGTCAGGAGTTCAAGACCAGCCGGGCCAATGTGGTGAAACCTCATGTCTACTAACAATACAAAAATTAGCTGGGCATGGTGGCAGGTGCCTGTAATCCCAGCTGCTCCAGAGGCTGAGCCAGGAGAATCAGTTCAACCCAGGAGGGAGAGGTTGCAGTGAGCTGAGATCATGCCACTGCACTCCAAAAAAAGTGGTGTGCCTAAAATATTCAACAACCTCACTTGGTCAAGGAGCGCTAAGGTACCTGTTTACATTCATAATATCCTTATTCCCAGGAGGACTTCATGGTATTCCTCCAAAATTCCTTCCCTAGATATATAGCTTTAAGAGAGAACTAAGCAAACAATTCCATCCTCCTTCATTTATTTGAAACATCGCTCATTTCACACCAGGCTCTAGTTTTATTGTAATTTATTTTTTCCTTATCTGTATTATACTGTGGCAACACTAATACCAACAGAAAAAAATCAGCAGGGTCTATCATGTAACAAGGACAAAAGTGCTCAGAGGGAAAGAACAGACAACCATGATCAATATGAGAAATCCCAGATGTATCTACATGCTGCTCTTAGAGCAGGAAGGACCCTAAACATTTATTTTGTAAATGCTAACTTAAGGTAGTTCCAACAAAATTAAAAAAAAAATTTTTTGGAGAGAAGGTCTTACTCTGTTGGCCAGGCTGGAGCACAAAGGCACAATCACAACTCACTGCAGACTCAGTATCTGGGCTTATATGATCTTCCTGCCTCAGCCTCCCACATATAAGTGAACTATAGGTGTGTGCCATCATGCCTGGCTAATTAAAAAAAAATTTTGTAGAGCTGGGGTCCCAGTATGTTGGCTAGACTGGTTTTGAACTCCTAGGCTCAAATGATCCTTTCACGTTGGCCTCCCAAAGTGCTGGGATTACAGGCATAAGCTACCATACCTGGCCTGTCACAAAATATTTCACACAACTGGGTTACTAGAAAACTAACCAGTTAGAGTCTGTGGGAATAATCTGTTCACTTCATAAGTGTATCTCAAGGAATAAGTCTATTTTTTCCATTAGGTATCTGCTATGGTTCGAATATGGTTTGTCCCCACCAAAGCTCATGCTGTGGCTTGGTCCCCAATGAGGTGGTGTTGGAAGGTGGTGTCTTTAGGTGGTCCTTATCTCGAAAGGGAGTTCTTGCTCTCTCAGGACTGAATTAGTTCCCTCAAGAGTGAGGTATTTTAAAGTGAGGCTGCCTGTCACTTACAGCTGTTTGGTCTCTTTGCATGTGCTCACTTCCCCTTCTGCTACTCTGCCTCACAGCATGAGGCCCTCACCAGAAGTTGACCAGATGCAGCCGCCCAATCTTGGTCATTCTAGCCTCCAGAATTGTGAGCTAAATAGACCCCTTTCCTTTAGAAATTATCTAATTTTAAGGATTTTCTTATAGTAAGAGAAAAAAGAGGGCCGGATGCAGTGGTTCACGCCTATAATCCCAGCACTTTGGGAGGCTGAGGCGGGTGGATCACGAGGTCAAGAGATTGAGACCATCCTGGTCAACAAGGTGAAACCCCGTCTCTACTAAAAATACAAAAGTGAGCTGGGCATGGTGGTTTGCGCCTGTAGTCCCAGCTACTCGGGAGGCTGAGGCAGGAGAATTGCTTGAACCCAGGAGGCAGAGGTTGCGGTGAGCCGAGATCATGCCATTGCACTCCAGTCTGGGTAACAACAGCAAAATTCCATCTCAAAAAAAAAAAAAAAAAAAGAAAGAAAGAAAGAAAGAAAAAAGAGTTAAGACAGAAACAAGAAACATAAAATAAAATGAAAGTGTATTCAGTATGTTATGCCACTACAAAGGATTATTTGATTATGTAGCATAAAACAAACAACAAATTTGAGAGCGCTTTTGTGAGAAAAGAAAATGGAAGGAAGTGTTTATTAGATGATGGATTTCTTCATATTCACTTTTTAGGAGATTTAAATTATCATAAAAGTTTTTATGCATTATGTATATATTGATCATTTATTAGGCGCACAAGATTTATCAGATGGATTTGGAGTAGCTGGCGATAAACGTATTAAAAAGAATGAAACTTCCTCATCTGATAAAGGGCATCTACCAAAAACTTAGCAAATATTATATACTGGTGAAATACTGGATACTTTCCCCTAAGATCAGAACAAGACAAGGGTATCCACTCTTGCCACTTCTATTTAGTATTTTACTGGAGGATCTAAATGAAGGGCATCCAGATATAAAGGAAGAAGTAAAATGATCTTTATTTGCAGATGACATGACCTTGTGTACAGCAAGTCCTAAGGAATCCACTAAAAAACTCTTGGGGCCAGGCGCGGTGGCTCACACCTATAATCCTAGCACTTTGGGAGGGCGAGACGGGTAAATCAATTGAGGTCAGGAGTTTGAGACCAGCCTGGCCAACTGGTGAAACCCCACCTCTACTAAAAATACAAAAAGTAGCTGGGCGTCATCGTGTCTGCCTGTAATCCCACCTATTCAGGAGGTTGAGGCAGGAGAATCACATGAACCTGGGAGGTGGAGATTGCAGTGAGCCAAGATTATACCACTGCACTCCAGCCTGGGCAACAGAGGGAAACTCCATCTCAAAGAAAACAAACCAAAAAACAAACAAACAAAAACTATAAAAACCTCTTGGAATGAATAAACAAGTTCAGTAACATTGCAGGATATAAAATCTATATGGAAAAAAAATCAATTGTTTGTCTATACAGTTGCAATAAACCATCCAAAAAGAAAAATAAAAAAACAGCTGAGTGTGGTGGCTCATGCCTGTAATCCCAATGCTTTTGGAGGCTGAGGCAGGGGCCACTTGAGCCCAGGATTTTGAGACAAGCGTTTGCAATGTAACAAGATTCACCTCTACAAAAAATTTAAAATTCAGCCAGCTATGGTGGCATGTGCACATGGTCCCAGCTACTTGGAAGTCTGAGATGGGAAGATCACTTGAGCCTGAGAGATTGAGGCTGCAATGAGTCATGATGGCAGCACTGCACTCCAGCCTAGGCAACAGAGAACTCATTTCAAAATAAATAAGTATGTAAAATAAAATTCCATTTACAATAGTAAAAAGAATACAGATGCTCCTTGACTTACAATGGGGTTATGTCCTAATAAACTTGATACTCATTTTAAGTTGAAAATGCATTCAGTACACGTAACCTACCAAACATCATAGCTTAGCCTAGTCTACGTTAAATGTGCTCAGAACATTTATGTAACCCTATAGTTGGGCAAAATCATCTAATAAAGCCCATTTTATGTAATTTATTGGACACTGCACTGAAAATGAAAAACAACATGGTTGTATGTACTTAAAGTTCCGTTTTTATTGAACATGTATTGATTTTGCACCACTATAAGATCAAAAAATCATATGCAGAATCATCAAAAATTGGGGACCATCTATGCTTAGGAATAAATTCAATGAAAGTACAAAACTCACTGTGATAACTACAAAAGTCTGTCAAAAGAAATCAAGGAAGACCTACATACATGGAAATATATCCCATGTTCATGGATTAGCAGATTTAATATTATTAAGATGGCAATACTCTCCAAACTAATCTATAGATTTGACAGAATCCCATTCATATCCTAGTTGGCTTCTTTGCAGAAACTGACAAGCTGATTCTACAATACAGAAATGAAAGGGACACAGAATACCCAAAACAATCTTGAAAAAGAACAAAGTTGGAAGACTCTCACTCTTCTGGATTTCAAAGCTTACTATGAAGCTACAGAAATCAAGACAGTAGTACTGGCATAAAGACAAACATATAGGCTGGGCATGGTGGCTCACGCCTGTAATCTCAGCACTTTGGGAGACTGAGATGGGCAGACTACTTTGAGCTTAGAAGTTTGACACCAGTCTGGGCAACATGGCAAAACCCCATCTCTATAAAAAATTAAAAAATTAGCCAGGCGTGGTGGCCTGCACCTGTGGTCCCAACTACTTGGAAGGCTCAGGCTGGAGGACTGCCTGAAGTGGAAGATGCAGTGAGCTAAGATTGCACCACTGCACTCCAGCCTGGGTAACAGAGGGAGACCCTGTTTAAAAAAAAAACAACAAAACACCAGACAACAGAATAGATTGAGAGTCTAGAAATAAACCCTCATTTATAGTCAACTTATTTTCAACAAGAGTGCCAAGACAATGCATTGGGTAAAGAACAGTCTTTTCAGGCCGGGTGTGGTGGCTCACACCTGTAATCCCAACACTTTGGGAGGCCAAGGTGGGCAGATCATGAGGTCAAGAGACCGAGACCATCCAGGCCAATATGGTGAAACCTCATTTTTACTAAAAATACAAAAAAAAATTAGCTGAGTGTTGTGGTGTGAACCTGTAGTCCCAGCTACTTAGGAGGTTGAGACAGGAGGATTAGTTGAACTTGGGAGATAAGGTTGCAGTGAGCCAAGATTGCACAACTGTAGCACTCCAGCCTGGTGACCGAGCAAGACTCCATCTCAAAAACCAAACCAAAACAAACAAACAAAAAAGAATAGTCTTTTCAACAAAAAATATTGGGACAACTGAATATTCACATGCAAAAGAATAAAACTGGCCCTTTACCTCATTGCATATATAAAAACGAATTCTAAATGGATCAAAGATCTAAATGTTAAGAGCTAAAACTATAAAACTCTTAGAAGAACATACTGGTTTAAATCTTCGTCGCTTTGAATTAGGCAGTGGTTTTCAGATATAGCACCAAATGCACAACAAATTAAAAAAATACATAAACAGGACATTACCAAAATTAGAACTTTTGTGCTTCAAAGCACACCATCAAGAAAGTGAAACACAACCCACAGAACGGGAGAAAATTTTTGACAATTATCTATCAGATAAGAAACTTACATATGGAATAAAGAACTATTACAATTCAATAACAAAGATATATTATCCAATTAAAAAATGGGCAAAGTATCCTGATATTTCTTCAAAGTAGATATACAACTGGCCCATAAGCACAAGAAAAGATGCTCCACATAATTTTATTTCAGAGAAATATGAATTAAAACCACCTGAGATACTATTTTACACCTGCTAGGATGGCTGAAATAAAAAGGACAAATAAGTGTTAGCTAGGTAAGGGTAAGAAATTATAGCATGAGGCCAGGCATGTCTGTAATCTCAGCACTCTGGGAGGCACAGGCGGGTGGATCACCTGTCAGGAGTTCAAGACCAGCCTGGCCAACATGGTGAAACCCCATCTCTACTAAAACTACATTTGCTGAGCTTGGTGGTGGGCGCCTGTAATCCCAGCTACTTGGGAGGCTGAGGCAGGAGAATAGCTTGAATCCAGTAGGTGGAGGCTGTAGTGAGCCAAGATTGTGCCACTTCACTCCAGCCTGTACAATGAGCAAAACTTCATCTCAAAAAAATTTACAGTATGAAACATTTATATATTTTCTTACAGACAATGTCTTCTAATGAACTGTACAAACAATCTGCTTTTTTTTCCCTTTGAGACAGCATCCCACTTTGTTGCCCAGGCTGAAGTGTAGTGACCCAATTAGGGTTCACTGCAGCTTCGACCTCCTGGGCTCACGTGATCCTCCCATCTCAGCCTCCTAAGTAGCTAGGACTACAACATATGTGCACCACCATATCCAGCTAAGTTATTGTGTTTTTATTATTATTTTATTATTAATTTTATTGTATTTTTTGGGGGGAAGGGGGCAGAGACAGGGTTTTCACCATGTTGCCTAGGCGGGACTCAAACTCCTGGTGTCAAGTGATCTGCCCGTCTAAGCCTCCCAAAGTACTGGGATTACAGGTGTGAGCCACCACACCCAGCTAACAATCTGCTTTCTGGTCACTACTATAGGTATTACTGCCAGGCATGGTGGCTCACACTTGTAATTCCAGCACTTTGGGAGGCCAAAGTAGACGGATAACTTGAGGTCAGGAGTTCAAGACCAGCCTGGCCAACATGGTGAAACTTTATCTCTACTAACAATACAAAAAAAGTAGCTGACCATGGTGGCACACACCTGTACTCCCAGGTACTGAAGAGGCTGAGGCATGAGAATTGCTTGAACCCAGCAGGCAGATGTTGCAGTCAGCTGAGATCATGTCGCTGCACTCCAGCCTGGGCAACAGAGTGAGGCTCTATCTCCAAAACAAATAAACAAACAAACAAACAAAAAAACTAAAACAAAAAACCACAGCTGGGCGTGGTGGCTCACACCTGTAATGCAGCGTTTTGGGAGGCCAAGGCAGGCAGATCACAAGGTCACAAGTTCAAGACCAGTGTGACCAATATGGTGAAACCCCATCTCTACCAAAAATACCAAAATTAGCTGGGTGCGGTGGCACGTGCCTATAGAGCCAGCTACTCAGGTGACTAAGGCAGGAAAATCGCTTGAACCTGGGAGGTGGAGGTTGCAGTGAGCTGAGATTATGTCACTGCATTCTAGCCTGGATGACAGAGCAAGACTCTGTCTCAAAAAAAAAAAAAGAGCTATTACTTTGTGTTTTAATAGCAAGAACAGAAGACAGACCATATTTTCTTCTTTACTGAAGTACTCTTCTACGTCATACCTTGTCAGTTTTATGTATTTCTGAATGGCTTTTTAAAACAAGTAAACTATGATTAAGATGAAGAGACAGAATTACTTAGAATATAAAAGTAAGATTTATTTCATTTTTAGTGAATTTGGGGCCTCATGGTTTGCTGCTGGGGAGTTTTAGAACACTTTGCCTTTACTTCTTCACCCATACATAAAATTCTAAATAGGGTCATTCACTAAATTTTTCACTACTTACCAAAATCTACCCTTGTTAATATGCACTGCATTGGGTGGTCAGTTGTATGCCTTGTTGTTGTTGCACCACTTTCATAACAAGATGCACAAAGATCGTAATCGTAGCAAATTAAACACTTATATCTGCGACCTCGAAAATTTCCTTTTAAACATGCATCACAGCTGACACCTAAAAAAAAAGAAATACCTTTAGTTAGCAGTTGTAAAAAGCCACTCTTGATTTCATTTTTATAAATGTTTCAGGTGCTCATTTAACCTCATATATCCTTTCCAAAATGACTAGAAATGACAGAGTAAAATGATATGGGAATTTTCAGCCATGTGGTAAATTCATTACTCTGATATATACTCCAAATGAAAATAATTTAAAATGACTGATACAGGCTGGGTGGGGTGGCTCATGCCTGTAATTCCAGCACTTTGGGAAGCCAAGGCAGGTGGATCACTTGAGGTCAGGAGTTTGAGACCAGCCTGGCCAACATGGTGGAACCCTCTCTCTACTAAAAATGTGTAAATTAGCCAGGTGTGGTGGCAGGCACCTGTAATCCCAACTACTCAGGAGGCTGAGAATTGCCTGAACTCAGGAGGTGGAGGCTGCAGTGAGCCGAGATCACGTCACTACACTCCAGCCTGGGTGACAGAGACTCTGTCTCACAATAAGAAATAAATAAATAGGGCCGGGTGCGGTGGCTCACGCCTGTAATCTCAGCACTTTGGCAGGCGGATCACCTAGGTCAGGAGTTCAAGACCAGCCTGGCTAACATGGTGAAACCCTGTCTTTAAAATAAATAAATAAATAAACAAATAAATAAATAAATAAAGTAAAATGACTGATACAATGTAATGTGCCCCCCTCCCCCGCCCCCCAAAAAAATGCCTTGATAAGTCAGCAAGAAGGTAAAAACCAAGAGAAAGAGGAACTGGTAACTAGAAGCACTGAAGAGAGCTTTTCACCATGAGGATATTTGCCAAAGCAGGGAAAAATCTGAGCTTAAGTTCCACAACATTGTAGGACAAAGGCCTACTGAAGGTGGGGTAATTAACAGAAGATTCCTCATAAAACCAAAGACTCTAATATACTCTCAATGCCTGGGTGGGATAGAAATCCTCCCTAGAGGATTACAAAAATTACCCTTGTGAAGGCCCCTTGTCCTGGGGGCACAAAATAACAAAAAGCCATAACCACAAACCAGTCCTCATGGGTTTATAGCCCAAATTCTACCAATGGTTCCAAAGAACTTGGGTCAAGAATTTTAAGTAGTCTTAAATTAGAATTGCCACCAAACATCCGGCATAAATAAACATCCAAGGAATAAGTTCATAATTTATATTGTAAAATGCATACAAAAAAACAAAGCACCATCAGAAAGAACTAACAGGAGTGGCAGAATCAGACAGCCATTGAGTTCATATCAGAATTTGGTATCAAATAATTCTTGACCTGTTAAAAGAAATAGCTGAGTATGGTGGTTAACAATTGTAATCCCAAGCACTCTGGGAAGGTAAGACAGGGGGATGGCTTGAGGCCCGGAGTTCAAGACCAGCCTAGGCAACAGAGAGAGACCCTGTCCACAAAAAAATTTAAAAATTAGCTGGGCCACTTGTGGCCTGTGCCTGTAGCCCTAACTGCTTGGGAGGTTGAGGTGGGAGGAATGCTTGAGGCCAGGAGCTCAAGGCTGCAGTAAGCCACGATCACACTACTGTACTCCAGCTTGGGTAACAAAACCCTGTTTGAAAAAGAAAAAAAATAAGGCCAGGTGTGGTGGCTCACGCCTATAATCCCAGCACTTTGGGAGGCCGAGGTGGGTGGATCATGAGGTCAAGAGATCGAGACCATCCTGGTCAACAAGGTGAAACCCCGTCTCTACTAAAAAAAATACAAAAATTAGCTGGGCATGGTGGTGTGCGCCTGTAGTCCCAGCTACTCGGGAGGCTGAGGTAGCGTTGCTTGAACCCAGGAGGCGGAGGTTGTGGTGAGATGAGATCGTGCCATTGCACTCCAGTCTGGGTAACAACAGCAAAACTCCGTCTCAAAAAAAAAAAAGAAAAAAATAATAATAAAGAAAGAAAGAAGCTTGAACAGGGCTGGGTACCATAATTCACACCTATCTATAATCCCAACACTTTGGGAGACTGAGACAAGCGGGCTCCTCGAGGCCAGAAGTTTGAGACCAGCTGAGGCAACATAGAGAGATCTCATCATCTCTATTTGTTAAAAAAAAAAAAAAAAAAAAGTTAAAATTTGCTGGGCGCAGTGGCTCATGCCTGTAATCCCAGCACTTTGGGAGGCCGAGGCAGGCGGATCACCTGAGGTCAGGAGTTCAAGACCACCCTGGCAAATGGTGAAATTCCATCTTACTAAAAATACAAAAATTAGCTGGGTGTGGTGGCAGGTGCTTGTAATCCCAGCTACTTGGGAGCCTGAGGCAGAAGAATCACCTGAACTCAGGAGGTGGAGGTTGCAGTGAGCTGGGATTGTGCACTCCAGCCTGGGTAACAAAGAGAGACTCTGTCTCAAAAAAAAAAGTTAAAATTTAAAATTCAGTGGATCAGTTTCATAGCAGGAAATTTTATTCACATGTGATATGCTTGCTTATGTTGAATACTCAAATACAGCTAAGTTATTAGAATTAAGTAGTAAGCAAGGCTGTTAGAGACCACTTAAAGTATTGATTGTCTTCTTCATTGCGAAACAGATAGAAAAACATATTATTAAAAATATGTCATTTATTACAAAAAAATTAGCTGGACATGGTGGTGTGTGACTGTAATCCCAGCTACTCAGAAGGCTGAGGCAAGAGAATCACTTGAACTCGGGAGGCAGAAGTTGCAGTGAGCCGAGATCGCACCATTGCACTCCAGCCTGGGTGACAGAGCAAGACTCCATCTCGGGGAAAAAAAAGTCATTTATGATTTCATCTAGATGTGTCAAAATCAAAGAGAAAGAACAGTGGTTACCACAAACTGGAGGAAAGGGAGAATGGGGTGTTAGGGTTTAGTAGATACAGAATTTTCAAGTTTGGGATAATGGAAGAATTCTGGAGATGGACAATGGTGATGGTTGCAAGAATGTGAATATACTTAATGCTACTGAATTATACATCTAAAAGGGGTTAAAACAAATTTTATGCTATGTATGTTTTACCACAATAAAAAAAATACGCCACTTGCAACAGCATTTTTAAAAAGTGCTTCTAAATAAATCTAACCAAAGATACGCAGCCCTTTATGAAGCAAATTAGTAAAACTGTATTCAGACACTAAATAATTGACATTCATAACAAAACATCCATTGATTGGTAGATTCAATACAGTTATAACCAAAATTTAAACAGAATTTTTTTGTGGGACATGATAAGCTGATGCGAATTATGATGCAAGCTACAAAAAGGGCGAAGGACAGTCAAGATGCTCCCAAGAAAAACAAGATAGAGGGACTTGTTTTACATATCAAGAGCTACACTAATAGATAATAAATAACACAATAACAAATAATAAAGCTATAATAACAAGATGGAATGGCACCAGCGTAGAGACAAAATGGCCTATGGAATAGAATGGAAAGCCCATAGCAATCACTAAAGAACACTGAGAAAAGAAGGGAATGGACAATAATGGTGCTGAATAGATGATTATCTGTATGTGGGGAAAATAGTATTAGATCTCTTCCCCATATCCCATATACACAGAACATCAATTCCAGATGGTTTAAAGACAGATTTGAAAGAGCAATAAAAAATGTCTCTAGAAGACAATACAGACTATTTTTATGAGCTCAGAGTAGAAAACAATTTAAATCCTTCTCTCAAACATGCACTCTCTCTCTCTCCAAATCATAGAGATAAATTCAACTTTATTAAGACTTTTTCTTCATCTTCTAACAGCCTACAATGATTGAAAATACAAGGTTCAGAAACTGGAGATATGTAGGACATACGTGACAGTCAAAAGTTTGTTATTCAGAATGCATTATAAACTCTTACATATCAGTAAGTAAATAATGAACACTCAATAGAAAAATAAACCTGTCAAAGGGCAATCAAAGAACAACAAACATAAATGGCCAGTAAAATATGAAAAGATGCTCAATCTCATTAGTCATCAAAGAAGTTCATGATTAACATCTGTGAGAAACTACAAGTTTCATGATATCAAATGCTAGTGAAGATAAAGGGCAGCAGAAGTGCTTATACCCTGCTGGTGGGCATATATGTATCAGCACAACCACTTTGAAAAATTTGTTCATATTTTAGTCAAGTTAAACACATATACTTCCAATGATACTATAATTTCACTCTTAAATACATTCCCTGGGGAATCTTTTGCCTATGTGCACCTAGAGAATGTGCAAGAATGTTGACGGCAGTTTTCATAACTGAATTTTAAAAAGGCTATTAAGATTCAAAGGCTCAACAGTTCCAATATTCACAGAATGAACTAGAAAAAGAATGAATCACAGCAAGAGGTAAGAATATCTGTCTCAGATGAGTGAAAGGAAGTCTCAAAGAATACATATAGTATAAAGTTGAAAACCAGTATCTAGTTTAGGAAATCAAACATGTAGTAAAACTATAAAAGGAAAATGAGGGAAGGATAAAATTTTGGTCAGCGGCTCCCTCTGTGGGGTAAGGGAATGAGGAGATCAGTGTGTGGAACTTTTACGGATCTTGAAGGATAACCTTTTTACATCTAGCCAAGAGGATCTTGGATCCATTTTTCTCTTTTGCATTTATTTTATGAAAATTCTCGTATATCTAACCAATATTTTATTTTTAAAAGTCCCTTCCTTCCTTCTTTCCAAACAAACAAACAAAAAACAAAAATAGAAAGCAAAGCTGGAATTGTTTACAATAACCTTTGGGCTGTCAATTTAAGGTAGAAAACTGGAAAACAGCATAGTTTTGGCAGATTGTAGATTTCTTTTTGAGACAAGGTCTCAAAGTCACTATGGCTGGAGTCTAGTTGCACAGTCTTGGGTCACTAAGGCCTCAATCTCCCAGGTTTAAGCAATCCTTCTACCTCAGCCTCCTGAGTAGCTGGGACTACCGGTGTGCACCGCTATGCCCGCATGATGTTTGTATTTTTTTGTAGAGATGGGTTTCACCATGTTGCCCAGGCTGGTCTCAAACTCCTGGACTCAAGCAATCTACCTGCGTCAGCCTCCCAAAG